TCATAGCAATGCGTAGATGCACCTGTCACCGAGTGACACCAAGGGGCATATTTGTAATGCAGAGAATCTGACATTCATCAAACTTTCACTGTAGCTGAACCCTACCTGTGTATGTGTTTTCAATAGCAGTGATTGATTCCACACCAGTGAATGTTTGGTGAAAGAAACATCCACCTGTTATTTATCTGCAACAAGAAGGTTTATCTTTAGTTTTCCAATTCTGTGTCCTGAAAAAGAATTTTACATTTTGAAATATTTAGTCAAGAATCTGGCAAATCACCAAACTTTTACTGCAGGTGAAACTCCTGGTGCAATGGTTTTCAAGTGACAGTGATTGATTCGCCACCAGTGAATGTTTCGTGAAAGTAACATTCACTTGTTGCTACAAGTTTATCTTTTGATTTTCAATTCTCTGTCTTGAAAAATATTCATACATATTAATTATTTAGCTAAGCTCTAAATATTGTACAATTGTCCTCAAGTAAAACTCAAAGAAAAAAGGTAGAAGGACCGATTAGGATGCACCTGTTACCAAGTGACATTGTTATAAAGAAGTGAATCTGACAATTAGCAGACTTTCACTGCATGTAAATCTTGGTGCATGTGTTTTAAATAACAGTAGCTGAATTACCACCAGTGAATGTTTGGTAAAAGTCACATTCACTACTTGATACATATATCTCCAAGTGTCAGGACATACTGTATTTTGTTATGGTACTTGTCTACCAGGGTCCTATTCTGCATTTGTGACACACATATACAGGGCTATTCACAAAAGGGTGAAGGGTTTGGGGAAGGCAGGATAAGTGAACAATCTAGGACAACATAGCTGGAAAGTGAGGTGAATGGGAGAATTTTTCCAAATCAGCTATTTTGTCCTAGATTGTTCACGTCTCCTGCCTTCTTCGAACTCTTCACCCTTTTGTGAATAACCCTGATAGACTTTAATATACTAATATACAAACACACGTGCATTTTCTAAAATATGTAATCATGTATCTAATCCTAGACATGCTAACTTCAGTGTTCTGCAAATTGAAAAAAAGAGAAACATTGAGTTGGAGCTTAAGATAGGGAAATATAAAGATTGGGATGAGAAATGTAGAAAACGGACTGAAATATGATGATATGGAGTTAGATAGAGTTAGATAGTGTAAGATAGAGTAAGATTCTATCTACATATAGAGCTAGAGAGCAAGAGAAACAGAGAGATATAGATTGAAATAGAGAAACATTGAGTTGGAGCTTAAGATAGGGAAATATAAAGATTGGAATGAGAAATGTAGAAAACGGACTGAGATATGATGATATGGAGTTAGATAGAGTTAGATAGAGTAAGATAGAGTAAGATTCTATCTACATATAGAGTAAGATAAAGTAATAAAAAATCTTCACCACACACTTTAAAGATGATTATATGACATTATAATAAATTTCAGCAGTGAAGGAAGAAATATGAAAAGTGATGCTTGCCATGCCAGGTAGCTTACAGAATATCAGTAAAGCACAAAAAATAGTGTGGGTGTCAGTAGAACTGGTTGCTGCGTCATTTAATTTAGGAAGGAATAATAGGAATATGCTTTTACACAGTCAGGTGCCAATCCATACATGGATTGCAAAAGATCTGACATTTTAATTATTTTAATCCAATATGGATCAAGCAAACACTGGGCTCAACATTTTGTTTTACCAGCTAAAAAAAAGACCTAATGAAATCTTCCTGAAAAATATTAATTAAAACTGACTGCAGATATAACTAGAAAACACAAACCACTATCAGAGCGCCTCTGCAACTGTGGTCCTACTCTAATCTATAGGCAGAATCCACATATATAAATGATTATGCTAAGAGAAAGTTTGCTTGGAGGTTACTCCAGTCCTCCTCAAAAGTACCACATCACATGAGAAATCCAGACTCACTATGGCTGATGAGGACCTGATGTAGAAGTGTACAAAACTATTTGCATTGACTAGAAAAATCACCAGCAGGAGGAAGGAGGTCCCGATTCCGCTATATAAATCTTTAGTTATCACTGGAGGGATTACCAGCAGGAGGAAGGAGGTCCTGATTTCCCTACAGAGATCTTTAGTTATCACTATTGGGATCACTAGCAGGAGGAAGAAGGTCCTGATTTCTCTATATAGATCTTTAATTATCACTATAGGGATCACCAGCAGAAGGAAGGAGGTCCTGATTCCTCTATATACTGTAGATCTTTAGTTATCACTAGAGGATTCTCCAGCAGGAGGAAGGAGGTACTGATTCCCCTATATACTGTAGATCTTTAGTTATCACTACAGGATTCTCCAGCAGGAGGAAGGAGGTCCTGATTCTCCTATATAGATCTTTAGTTATCACTAGAGGATTCTCCAGCAGGAGGAAGGAGGTCCTGATTCTCCTATATAGATCTTTAGTTATCACTAGAGGATTCTCCAGCAGGAGGAAGGAGGTCCTGATTCACCTATATAGATCTTTAGTTATCACTAGAGG